ACACCATCGTGATTATCTGGGTCATGAAGATCTTTTTTGTATAGTTCTTCTGTGTATTCTTGCCACCTCTTCTTAATATCTTCTGCTTCTGTTAGGTCCCTACCATTTCTGTCCTTTATTGAGCCCATCTTTGCATGAAATGTTCCCTTGGTATCTCTAGTTTTCTTGAAGAGATCTCTAGTCTTTCCCATTCTATTGTTTTCCTCTCTTTCTTTGCATTGATCACTGAGTAAGGCTTTCTTACCTCTCCTTGCTATTCTTTGGACTTGACTTCCCAGCAAACTTGACTTCCCAGCAGGAAGTTGGGCTTGACTTCCCAGCAGGAACACAGGACCTTGGCTACAGTCCTGGGCTGCTGAAGCGCGGGATTTAAATTACTAACTGTGTTTATTGAGCATCTGTAATACAGCATGAGTTTGTGCAAAATTGTTTCTCGGTTTTCTTTTTTTTTTGGCCATGGTGTGCAGCATGTGGGATCTTGGTTCCCCAACCCGGTATCAAGCCCAGGGCCCCTGCATTGGAAGCACAGAGTCTTAACCACTGGACCTCCAGGGAAGCCCCTTAAGTGCTTTCAGTGTTTTAGTTAATATTCACAAAAATCCTATGATATAGGTACACATTATTTTATTGTTATTGTTCAGTTGCTAAGTCGTATCTGACTCTTTGTAACCCAATGGACCGCAGTGTACCAGGCTCTCCTGTCCTTCACTGTCTTCTGGAATTTGCTCAGAATCACATCCATTGAGTTGGTTATGCTGTCAATTCATCTCATCCTCTGCTGCCCCCTTCTATTAACCTTTTAGAAAAGCAGATGAGGAAATTGAACCATACAAGGGTTAAGCAAGTCACCCATGGTGACATAGTTGGTAAACAATAGAGCCAAGGTCCATTTCCTGAAGGTCTCTCCCCCTTCCTGTAGTTGGAGTCAAAGTATCTGTGTGCATGGGAAGACAGGGATCCATTGCATTGGCAATTGAGACTTTCACCACATACCCCTAGAGGGACCTAGATGAGCTGACTCCTGATTTGCACCAACAGTAAAACTGTCACAACATTCCAGAGGTGCTTATCTACCAGCTACTGGTTTCTGAGTGGGGCTTGGGAGTCACCTGAATGAATGCATGGAAGACTTGTCTGAAAAGGCTTTTGGTTTTTTTTTTTTTTAGTGTCTGATCCATTTTATTTATTTTTTCCATTTATTTTTATTAGTTGGAGGCTAATTACTTTACATCATTGCAGTAGTTTTTGTCATACATTGAAATGAATTAGCCAATTCCCACCAACAGTGTAAGAGGGTTCCCTTTTCTCCACACCCTCTCCAGCATTTATTGCTTGTAGACTTTTGGATAGAAAAGGCTTTTGTGACCAACCTCCTTATGTTTCTCCTGCTGCGCAAGTGACAGTAGTTACTTCCTCGTCGTGAACTGTGCTGCTGTTATCAGCAGTTCTTATCTGAGCTACTCGATGTGGGTTTCCTGCTTGCTCTGGGGCTTGGTGACTGAGGAGCTGATAGGGGCCTGGGAATGCTCAAGTCACTGTTAATGAAGGAGACTGCTTCTTTGTCTACCAGATTTCCCATCACATTGTAAACAGTGAGCCCATCGCTCAGCCCAAGCCTCCAGCTCAGCTGCCTAACTATGGAGATTTCAGACTCCAGAAACAGGTGTGTAAGAAAAGCAGGCAGAAGAACCCTTCACCACTCCCCTCCCCCGTGCTCCCCTCACCCACTGAATGTGGGACACTAGAGGAAGTCTTGGGTGGTCAGTACATGATGGTGCGTTGTCTTCGTGCCATGTCAAGTTCCTAATATTGTCCCCAGGAGTACATCAACTAACCACCCGTATGGGGCACCTATATGTTTCAATTTTTCCCACACTACTTTTGATAAAGTAGCCTCCTGGGAGATAGTAATAGAGCTCTGTGGTAAGATGAATTTGCTGCCTCTGTACCTGCTCTGGGAGATTCACAGTGCGCACAAGCCCATTAAAGGCTTTGAAGTTCTGCAGTAAAGAAACCTGGTCAATTTTGTTAAAGCTGGCAGTTTTCTAGCTTGTGTGACCATTCATCCCTTTATTTATGAAATACCTGTTAATATCCTAAGGACTTAGTGGTTAGGACACATTGTTATACACCAGCCTTAAGGTGTTGGTAAGAACATTTCCAGACATCTTTAATCTGTCACCTCATCTCTGTATTATGTGATTAAAGTTAAATTTTTATATCTTATGCCAATAGCTTTCCTTGGAAGAGATGAGAATGAAAACAAGAGTTTATCACACATTAGCTTGGGATTGTAGTGTTTTTTTGTTTGCTGTGTTTTCTTCATTGCTCCTTCTTCTTCTCTCATGAGGTTATTTTTACCACTTCACAACAAATTTTATTGCAGAAAATTAAATACTTGGAGTTATTCTTTTTCTCTGGTTAAAAAAAATAAATGTTCCTTGGTGTGTGTGGACAATCAAGCTGACTTTGGAAAAAAAGTATATGTATATACTTAACTACAGAGACTTCTTCTATGGGGCTTAAAACTGTAGTCCTTGGGGGAGAAACCAAGAAGCCTGGTATAATTAAAATAATTATATTTATTAGTAGATTTGAAAAGAGATTAAGTTAAAAAGTTTTTGAATTTAACATTTTCATATTATTTAACTTGA